CTGATGGGATTCCAGGCAGTCTTCTTCCAAGGTTTATGCTATTAGCCACTGCTGTCCCTAGAAGATTCATATGGCCGAGAAATAGTCTTTCATGGGATTGCACCATTTTATACTTGCAGTTAAACATACATCTACTTATTTGTCCAACAGGAATGAATGCATATATCCACAAAAAGACTGGTATAAGAATGTTCATTGCAACTTTATTCTTAACAGTAAAAGAAAATTAAACAGCCCAAATATCCATTAACAAGGAAATCGCTGATCAAACTATAGTGTATTCATACAATGGAATAGTACTCAGCAATAAGCAATGAACTATAATACAAACAACAATATGAATAATAAATCTCAAACCTTTATGCTAAGCAAAAGAAGTCAGATACAAAAGATTATGTACCATATGATTCCATATATATAAAGTTTAAGAGCAAACAAAAGAAATCCGTATAAATAAAGATCAGAATAGTGATCACTTCTGGGAAGAGGGAAGGGCCATGAGGCAGGGTGATGGCAATGCTCTATATTTTGATTGGTCAAAAACCTTTGACGTGTACACTTAATATTTGTGCATCTTCATGTACGTATTTATACCCCATTTACACACACACACACATGCACACACACACACACCCATACAGTATAAATTGAAGATCCCATTTCCTCCCAAACCCATTCCCTTCTTCAGTCATGACCACTGTTTTTATAGACTGGCGTGGAGTTTCCAGGAGTTTCCATTTATATGCATGTGTGTCTATATACATCCAAATAGGCATTCCTATTTTAACATAAATAAGATCAGACTATATGTATTATTTCTATTTCTGCTACCTGCTTTCCTTTTTGAGTAATAATATATCCTGAAGGCTTTTCCATGTCCATACTTCATTTTGCCTTAATCTTTTTAGAGACCCTGATTTTATGTTATGAATATACTTAATTTCTTCAGTTTCCTTCTGATGGATGATTAGGCAATTTTCAAATTTTTACTTTTACAGTTGTAATGGAAATGTTTGTATATATATATAATATATATATATGGATGTGCACATGTGCAAACACTTTTGTAGGTTGTTTTCCTAGAAGAAGGGTTTGCTTAGGCAAAAGGAAGGTATGCTTTGGTGCAAATTGCCAAATTGATTTCCAAAAATCCTTTTGTTAATTACACTCCTCCTGACCAATGTGAGAGAGCTAGATTCCTGCATTCTTCCCAGCAATGAATATTACCAATCTTTAAAAGTTTTTGAGAGCAGATGGGTGAAAAAGTGACATCTTTTTGTTTCTATTGAGATTTCAAAATAAGTTTCGATTTTCTCTTTGTTTTGCAAATATGCGCATGCCCTTGGACAAACATATGCATCTCCTGTCCTGCACTCCTAGCTATGTAATTCCAGAGGTCTCAGAGTCTGACACGTTCTCACTACCAAGTTAGCACTTTATTCTTAGAATTTGACAGATGATTCTAGTGAAAATGGCAGGATTCTGTTCTCTCTGACATGCTTTCTTAATATGGTAGTCATTGTTGACCTTGAACCTGTTGGAAATTTTTAATTTAATGCAAATTCCTTGATGGCAACTGAATTTTGAATAGTGACATCCCTTGCTTTATGAAACTGGTAAATTTAAATTAAACATTGAAAATTAACCTTACCACTATATTTTCCAAATACTTCTTTTACCATAATTATTTTTATCTTTTTAAAATTTACATTTTGCATATATTCTTAATGCTGCTTTTTTTCTGGAGAAAAAATTCACCCCAAAGAAACCTTTTTTTTTTTTTTTTTTTTTTTAAATAATATGAGCAGGTCAGTCTCTGGCAGAGCCTTGCAAGTGGTTGAGTGTTGACTAAAGGTGATACTTTGTTTGCTTGGAATGGGCTTTTATTCTTTGGGATTGAAAAATCGTTGCAGTGTCCCTGAAAGTAAGGTCACTGTGTTTGAAAGCTGTACTGAATTTAGCACTTTGATTCATTCAGTGTGGGTGTACTTCTGCAGGTAGGGGAAGATGTGGAGACTAATAGGTCACTTACAGATTTTATTCTTACAAATGCTGAAGTTGTTGCTAGCAAAAATCACTGTGATCATTTTTTCACTGAGCATCTGTGAGGGAATTTTCTCTACTCTAAGAGATCTAGTATTTTTAAATTTCATGACTCCTCTGCCTGCCTTCCTCATAAATTGCCATTTTAACCTGTGTTTTAGGTAGCCTTAGGGCTTCCCTGAGAAACACTTGAGAGAGGAGTTCTCTGGTAGTGAGGCTCTGCTCACCTGTTCCACCCCACTTCTTGCTTCTTTCCTACCTGTGCGAGAGCATTCCTTCATTTCCCTTTTGACTTTCAGGTAAGCATTAAGTGAAAGAAAGGCTTCAACTGCTAGAAATATCTTTGAAAACCGTGGCACTACCACTTTTGTAGGTTGTTTTCCTAGAAGAAGGGTTTGCTTAGGCAAAAGGAAGGTATGCTTTGGTGGAAATTGCCAAATTGATTTCCAAAAATCCTTTTGTTAATTACACTCCTCCTGACCAATGTGAGAGAGCTAGATTCCTGCATTCTTCCCAGCAATGA